CTTGATAAGAAATGTACTCTTTATCTTGCCCATGTAATTGTAACCCCTCTGTACGGTATTCTCACAATAAAAATAAATAAATAAATAAAATTTTAAAAAAGAGAGATGGAGAAAGAGAGACAGACAGGAACAGAGACAGAGACAGAGACAGAGAGAAAAGCTGAAAATAATATTTAGTATTTGAGTAACCTATGGTTTGTGATTCCAATGGTCAATTGAGCATGTAAAGCAGACAATACCATGGGAAGTTGCATGCTCAAAGCTGTCAAGCAAATGAGAGAATAATAATAACTCCTCATAAACCTGTTCAAACTAAATCATAAATAATGTGGAATGTTCAAACATACCCTACCACAACTTTTCCCAAGCTGTGATATTGTCTTCTAGATTCCACTTCCAATTTTACTTTCTGCAAATATATCCTATTAGTGATTACATGCAATCCACATCACACTTAAACTGGGTAATTGAGTTAAAGGACTCTCTGGTAAAATCACACCTCTAACTAAGTAATATTACTTCTTTCCCTAGAAACTCCTTAGTTCCTATCCATGTTTAAAGAATGTGTCCCAGATATCATATCTTAAAGTCCACCTTTATCAAGTAATTACTTATGCTTATTTCCTCTTTCCATCTTCACAGCATTACTTATATCCCTGTGACTTTGTTTCGCATGTAGTTATCATAGACTTCTTGGTCAATTACAAGCATTTGGAATATAGACATAATGTACACCTCTCTTTCTTATCCATAACTGATATTGAATAAACAATTAGAACACGTAAGCTGCCGACAAGCATTACTGATACTAATGGATAAAATGGGCAAAAGTCAGTAGGAAGAGGGCACATTTTTTTACTAGACAGTTACCTTAGATATTCAACCTGTGAGCAACAGTATGAGATGTTAGATTGAAGTAATATATCTCCAATTCTAACGTGTACAAAAACCACTCATTTATCTGATTAACCTGTCCCAAGAAATACTATGTGATTTGATCTACCTTGGACTAACACAAGTAGGATGGGGCTACTCATTTAAATTTCTAATATGTTCATAGATGTAGCGGCTGAATAGAGGGCCACACTGTCAATACCACTACTTTAAGGAGTTAACTTAATGTCTGGATGCCTGGATGCAAAAATCCACTATTACATTTTACTGGTTTCATTTTTATCTATTTAATTTATATCAGTGGTACTTGGGTTTGAACTTAAAGATAGGCAAGTGCTTTACCATTTGAGCTATGCCCCTCAGTCCTGGCTTTTTGATCTTAAGTTACCTAATCCTCAACTTACTTGTCTATAAGATGGAAGTAATAACAGAAATGTGTTAGGACTGGCAACTAAAATAAGATACTTAAAACATGCTGCAGATCATATTTATTGCATAGTATGTGTTCAGAACAGGTGTCAGTGTATTTCATGGCATAAATAAGTGGATAAATTTCCCCATAGCTGGAGCCATTAATATGTCTCGCAGGGTAACTCTGGTTCACTCATTGCTTTGGTAATGGGAATAGCTTTGTATTTATTTAAATATTTGGAAAACATTATAACAAATATAATTTGTAGGGCTAGGAATGTGGATCAGTGATAGAGAGCTTGCCTACCACGCATGAAGCCCTGGGTTGGATTTCTCAGTACCACATAAACAGGAAAACCCAGAAGCGGTGCTGTGGCTCAAGTGGTAGATTGCTAACCTTAAGCAAAAATAAGCTCAAGGACAGTGCCCAGACCCTGAGTTCAAGTCCCAAGACTGGCAAAAATTAATAGCAATCATGTGATAATTAAATGATTTAAATGTCAGTGCTTATTAACAAAATGTTACTAGATCAAAGCCATATATATGCATTTATGCATTCCCTCGGATAGACAGCAGACTGAAGGGTTGCTATGACAGGTCTAGGGCCAGCATAACCTGCAATGTATACTGCTCGTTTACATTGCCTAATGGAGCACTAAGTCAATTTATCAGTGATTCAACGTCTGGGTAGCCATTCGTAGGCAAAGTCGCTGGGACTAGTACCATAAATCTATGTTGTTCTCCAAGGCAATAATTCTATTGGCTATAGTTTATCTTGTAACGGTACCAAAGGAATGAAGGCTTCTGAAGACCCAAATAAGGGGAAAAATGAGAAATTAGATGAATTTGAGAGGTAAATGGTAAAAATGGGATAAATAAATATCAAAGCTTTTCAGACCATGGAATGCTAGTAGATGTCTCAACCTACTTTCCAAAAGCAATATTTATTATCTTTTTCTTTCTGATTATAAAAGCAATACATGTTTATGGAATTTGGAGAATACAAGAATGTATACAGAATATACGTCCGTCAGATTCTCTGGACTAGTAATCACCACATTTAAACATTTTTGTCTTTACAAAATTGATGTGTTAGTGTACAAAATGATTACATATCTTTAAATGTGATACTTTTCCAACATCCTCACATCATCTCCGAAAACCATTGTTTAATGTCTACCAACTCTGCAGTGCTTGGATATGCTGCCATCCATTCAATCATGGCTGTCATGATTCAAGCTCAGGTTCTTTTAAGGCCTTCCTTGTTTATATTTGTAAATAATGCCATAACAATCTTGCTTAAATTTCTTCATGTTTGTGATTTTTTTCTGCTGCCATAAACTTACTGTAATAAATTTCTGGCAAAACCTGAGCAGCTTGAAATGATCAGGAAAAAGAAAAAAAGGTCAGAGACAAAAGCAATGCCAGTTGGAAGTCTTTTTGTCTCAGTCTTTCGAGATTTTCCCATTATTGGCACTCAGAAAACAATTATAACTAGACATCTGCTACCACCCATAAATGATAGTAAAATTAGTGATTTGGAGAACTTCTATTTAGTGTAAACACCATTAAATTGCATCTTATCTTTGACCAACCATGATTTTTTTTTCTAAATACCCAATTCTCAAATTCACACCACTACAAACAGGAAAACAAATGCACCCCTTTCCCTTAGAAAAAAAGGCAGTAATCTTATCAAAAATATTTTATTTACAAAAAAATCAATTATACTATACATCCTATACTGGAAATACATTGAATAATTGCTAAAATAAATACAGGCAATTAATTCAACTTTTTATAAGAATGAGAGAATTTAACACTTGAATGTTATCAAAGCTTAATTTAGAACATAAATAGTTAAAAAAAAGACAAAGTCAAGTTTTAGTCTCACTTATTGGCATGGTATGTTTGATTCCCAGGAACATCTCTGTCAGTGAGAGCCTGAGTTTCAGAATTCGGTGTACCTTTTCTTTTGTACTCAGAAGGTAGAATGTGCAGCTTCTTGTATAGGATAGATGGAACATGGCTGTTTGCATCAAAAGGAAGCAGAGAGGTGGAAAGCACACCATTTGACACTTCATGTGTCTCTGCTCTACCACAGAAGCTTTACAAAACAATTGTTCAAAGATTCATGTGTTTCAATGGTGTATTTAACACAGGTCTATGTAGCACCAGCTACAAGGTAAGGCCAATCATGTAAAAAGTCTCACGGAATCATGGAGGCCCTGTAGTAACTACACTAAGCAAGTTCAGAGTACCTGGCTCATCCCTTTTTACTGTATGTACCAGTTCATGATACCATCTATATAGGCATACTTATGAGACACAGAAACAAGAAAGAAAATGCTATTATCTGTGTACTACTTCAGAAAAATATCCTTCCTGGGAAGTAAAACAGGACAGTCAAAGCTTAAATTTTCCCAAGTTTGAATCAATATTATTTTATGTTTATTATAATTTATTCACTTTACCCATGTAAACATCAATTAACATGCAATGTGAATTGGCAAGATTAAAAACAATACATCAGTGAAACTTGTCTCTCTCACACACACACACATATATATACATGGATCCAGTGAATTCAGGCCACAGAACAAAACCTTTGATGAACTGCATTGAATTTATCCAAATTAAATAGGTAATTTTCTACTTTCCTTTTATTACTTGACCCGGACAAAAAGATTTCCATAATCTCTAAGGTCATTCATCTTTAATACTCATGTTTGTCCTGTGCTGCATGATGTCTTTCAAGGAGTAGCATTCTCTTTTCTTTTCTAATCTTATGGGAAAAATTGCACTTTTCTACCCCCTTGGCCTTGATATTTTGTAATTTGTTTTTGTACATACATAAACATGTATGTTTACTCCCAAAGTATGACAGGTTTATTGGCCTTTGCTAAGAGAAATGAAAACAGAAGGTTAAAATACTGAAAGTTTCAATATGTTTTCACAGAAATAAACTATTCAATTGTAAAAGGAAAAGAAAGATACATTTTATTCTTTCTATCATGAACATCAGTTAACCAAGCTTCACATTTTGGGCAGGGTTTTTTTTTTTTTAAGTATGAATTTTTTCAGAATCTATTATAAAAAAGAAGAGAAAACACAAGTGTATTTTGGCAGAAAAATAAAATATAGAGTATGTAAAATTTGTCTTAAAAATTGGCATACAAAATTTAAAAACACAGTACAATTATATCAAAATACAACACAGCCATCGGCCTTGAAGATTTCCTTTGGCATTCCATTTGGTAGAGTTAAACAGAAAATCCTTCCTAAAAATGAGTAGCTAACAAGAAACAGTCCATAAGTTAGGTTGTATAGGTTGAAAGAACTTTTCCTTGAGTTTTCCAAACTCCTTTTCTTCCATGATGGCCCACATAAAGCTAGTGAGGTATTTAGGGCAAACTCTGTCAGGCAGATGTACAGTAAGGGAAAAAAAGTGCATTAAACAAAGAATTTATCTCATTTTCATAGAAATGACAGGTTACATCTGAGTTTCTTCTTATTGATGCATCATATTACTTTGGCAGAATTAAAACAAAACCCAATAAAACATCTTTGTTCAAGTCCCAGCAGCAGTGATATGTCTCCTTTGGTGGCATGATCTGATGCCACAATGCTGTACAGTCCCTAGGTGTACACATCCCTAAGGCAGTGTGGTGTGAATGTGTGTGTGTGTGGTGTGTGTGTCCAGAAACAACTAATGTAAGATCATACATCAAGCACCATATCATATGGTTGTCCCTTCTTCCTCCTGCCACATTTATTGATGAGAACCACATAGAGCGTCAAAAGCATGACCCAGTAGCATGCGTAGACTAAGCTTCCAACAATTAGAACTGTCTGCTTGGATTCTGAGAATGGCTTCTTCGATTCCTTGTAAATGGTGAAAATCACACCACCTAGGAGGATTGTAAACCATATGGAGACTGGAATGAGTCCTATGAAGTTAACAACAATAGTTTTCCTTCCAGATGTGCCCCACCCAGCTTTGTTTATGGTTGCAATCGCAAACATCTTGGCAGGAAGTAAACTTGACATGTATAACACTGAGTAGAGAGACATAAACACCATGACAATATTTCCTCTAAGGCAGCTGGCAAAAGATGATTTTATGAGACCTACTAGCTGGACGGTTAATAAGAAGAGAAGGATGTTCCAAATTTTACCCCGGTAGAAAAGCTGAATTACTGTGGCAATGAGAAAGAAAGGAAAGAATCCAGTGATAACCGCTTCATAGGTCATCCACAAGTGATGTTTGTGAAACCACATTGCGTTGTATAGCCACTCTCGGAAGTAGGACTTGCTCCAGCGGGTCTGCTGGTTTAACCATCTGAGATATTCTATCGGTGTTTCGGTAAGGCACTTGGACCGAGCTGTATATTTTGTTGCATAGCCCAGACTCAGCACCCGGTTTGTTAGATGCCTGTCATCACCAAAGCTACATTGGTTGCCCATAAACTCCTGATTGTACCAGTCTTCCACAAACTCATGCAACAAGGAGTTTCTGTACATTCCCAGCGGTCCACTAATACACTGGACACACCCAAAATAAGACTGGCAGGCTCTTTCTATATTAAAAGCCATCCAGTATCTCACACTGCTGAGGAAGGAGATCCAGGAATCATACTTGTTTAAAATCTGCAAGAAAAAAAGAACACAGATGAATAAAGGTAAGCTTTAGCTACAGAATACCAAGATAACAACTGCCCTGAGATTACTACCTTGTAGGCTATCTGTTACTGTATGCTCTAAGTTGAATTTTCCTTCTCTCTTTGATATGGTTGTATCTTGCTTTCTTTTATTTTGTGCTACTACATGAGTTTGATTAGTTGGGGAGATGAGTTGTGATTCTTGGATGATGAACTTTTTTTCTACTTCATGATTGTCCTCTTTCTGCTATGTATTTTTTCAATCCTTCTCTTGCTCTTATGCCAGAGCTTGAAATGTTAAGTTTCCATTCTCAGACCCTAAATTTTTCTCCCTGACACTTTTTTTCTACTCTCTATGACTAGAAGGCTTCTAAGTGCAGTCTCTCCTATTCCAGTAAATTTCCAAGTTATCCAATTCGTGGCTGTTAATTTTCATTCTCAATTCTCCCTATAAAATTTGTAATGCCATGCCAGCGATTTAAAAAAAAGAGCTTTCTCTGGCCTTCCCATAGAATTTGAATCTTGAAATATTTTTTTTAATTAAGCCTATTGAAAAATATGTTTCTCCTTATTGGCAATATTCCTACATTTCTCTTCTGTCTCACTTTTATTCAGTTTGCATCCTTTTTTGTCACTAGCTGTGTCTTTGTTCTTCCTGATAAAATTTCTTTGCCTTCTCTGTGGACATGCATACACAAAATAGGTTCTTCAGACACAAATTTTAGGGTCTATTCCATGTCCTTCTCACCTTTTGCTAAAATTGAAATTCTTGTTTTCAAAATACTTATTGTTTAATTTTTATCTTGTCTCACATGCAAACTCTTCCATTGTGTAACATTCAAATTATGTTCATAAGTACTTGTTTTACTAATTGTTTCTCCATTAGTAGTAAATGATGGGCTATATGGAAATCCCCCCCATTTTTGTTCATTTGTTTTGCTTTTCTTGCTGGCATAATTTGAGTTAGTTTCTTTTTTTCCCCCCATCTTCTTCCCATTTATATTTGCAAGCAACCATATATTGGCCAGTTTTAAAATATGCAGACATAAGATACATAATCCATTCTTTACCATACTTCCATTTCTTTATGCTTGTAACCAAATAAACTTCATGTATGAGACTCTAACAAAACATTTAATATTAAATTGTGGCCCAAGGATGAATGCTTGGAATCATTACATATATTATGTTGCATTCAATTTGATGAGCCACTACAGATGAGATTTAATCAAAGAAATCAATCTAGATAGGAAAACAAAAGCAGGGAAGTTGAAATTCCAATGTGTCTCTAGCACCAAGAACAATTTCTGGCACAGAGTTGGTACACAATAAATATATATTCGAGGACTCAATGACTAAGAGTGTCATTAAAAGTATGTCATGCAAATAAATAAAGCAATCATACATACCTGGACATCTCCTCCAACTCCCCCAACCATGGGGTCTTCTTCTAAAACTTTTACCATCTCCACAGATGAGGCAGGGTCAAGCATTGTATCTGAGTCACACACCTACAGAGAAAAAAGTAGAACATGAATTTAAAAAGGAAGAAAGCTGGGTGCTGGTAGCTCATGCCTCTATTCTTAGCTACTCAGGAGGCTGAGATTTGAGGATCACAGTTCAAAGCCATCCCGGGCAGGAAAGTCAGTGACACTCTTACCTCCAAGAAACTACCAGATAACCAGAAATGGTGCTGTGGCTCAAGTGGTAGAGTGCTCACCTTCAGCTGAAGAGCTGAGGGACAGCACCCAGGCCCAGAGTTCAAGCCCCACAACTGACAAAAGAATAAAAGAAGAAAGGGCTAGGAGTGAACACCATACAGTCAAAATTGGGCAGAAACATTGTTCCTTCAGCCTTATTGGCACAATACTGGAGGCATGGCAGAGCATTTAGTATATCACGTAAAAGTTAAATAGTTTGTCTTATAACGGGCTCAATATTTAAGTTAATGAGACGGACAAATAGAATAGTTAGAATAACATGGTAGCCATTTGGTCAGAAATGTTCCAAAGATTGGTAATAAAAATCTTGTGTCCAAATAACCCTTCAGTCCTGTCATATTAAAATGGTTATTCACACTAGAGTTCTTTTTGTTATCATTTTCCTTAAGTAGTGACTTTAAACAACTTGTCCATGGTGTCTGAGTTGGAATTTTAAAATCTATAAGTATTGAGGGGAAGATACATCTAGCAGGGATTTTGCACCACCCCCTTTTGATATGGTGAATGAAAGAGTTTTTCTCCATGCAACTGTACAGTTCTAAAGATGTCCATGGGACCTCTGTTTAGTAAATGGCACTGCATGAGGAAAGGATCTGGTATGAACTGCAGAACATCTCCTTATTCTACAGTATTAACTTTTCTTCTAGTTCTTTGGGCTTAAAAGCAGATGTAAATCACCTGAAGCTATGATGGAATTATCTATTTTTATGCTTAAAAACAGTCATGCAATCCTGTAACCAAACCAAATATAACCTTAAGAATCTTATTGGAAATTGTGTGTCTGTGCACTCCTTAAAGACATAACTAGGGTGAACAAATGCATCAGTGGTATTCACTAGACCCTATGTTGAAAATGAGCTGTACAACTAGTGGGTTAGGACAGGAGGGAAAAACTGGGAGAGTGAGGAAAGGGGTTACATTGTCCAAAAAGAAATGTACTCTAACTGACTTACATACCTGCACATCACCTTTATTATAACAATATTAAAAAAAGAGACATTTCTATCCCAGTGCAAAGGAAGAAGGGTAAGTTGTAAGAAGTACTTTCATTTCCAGCTTAATTGGCTGATTGATTGATGAGTTGATTGACTGATTGATTTATCACAAAAAGCCAGTCCTGGGGCTTAAACACAAGCCTTTTTGCTCAAGGTTGGCATTACACCACTTGGGCCATGCCTTCACATCTGGCGTTTGCTGTTTAATTGAGCATCATGTCTTGAAGTTTCCAACTGGGATCATCAGATCTCATTCCCCCCAAGTAGCTAAAGTTATGGATATGATCCACTAGTACCTAGCCTGATTTCCAACCTGTTTTTTATTATTATTATTCAATTGCAAAGCTAAACAAAAGCATGATGTAGAGAGGAGAAACTGAAAAATCACTTGAATGATTATAAAGATAGAAAAGCTGTCTTTATAATTTTGTTCCTCACTGTTGGACTTAGTCCTGGATAGTATCTAAATGCGACTGACATCTTACTGTGTGTCTTTTCCAAAGGATGTAACTGAAGCTTGTTTCTTGGCAATAGCCCACTCCCAGAAGAAAGAAGCTGGTTTACTTGTTACATCTTCCATTCTCACTACTCCAATTAAACACTTACTCAATAAGATAGCTGGTAAAGGCCAGTTGAATGCCACCTGCAGATACAGTCTCGCTTTAACATTATTAGCCATGACCAGACTAGGAGCAAGGTACTCCCATCCCCTATCTGCTATACAGTCTGAAAATGCTTTGTTCTCTCCCAAAAGTGATTGAAGCCGCATTCCTCACATAATGGTGTTGAACCTTAAGCTATAGAACCCTCATGGAGTTCACAGGATTAGGATTCCTCCAATGAGTCAGTGAGTTCTAGCAAGAACTAGACTCGTTACTGTGGGAACAGATTGTTACAAGCGAAAATGTCCCTTGTTTGTTATCTTGAAGTTAGCCTTCAGCTTTTTCATCATCCTGGGACACTGAATGCAAGCCGCCACACCCTGGTATCTCCCAGTACCCAAAACAAGTACTGTTGGGCCATAGTATATTGTTCTGCTGAGTGCAGTAAGGTACTGACAAACATAAGTTCACCAGAAATGACATATAAAACCAGTAGGATATGACCATCTAGAATAAGAACGACATGATTGGCACAGAATCCATATCATCTGTAACCCTAGCTACTTAGGAGGCTGATATCTGAGGATTTTGTTTCAAAACCAGTCTGAGCAAAAAACCTTCAAGATTCTATCTCCAAAATAACCAGCAAAAAGCTGGACTGAAGGCATGGCTCCAGTTGAACAAGAAAGTTGAACGAGACTCTAAATTCAAGCCCTTGTACTTGCTAATAATTATAACAACAACAACAACTATTTTCAAAGTACTTGTGTCAGCCCCATTAATAGCTTTATATTTTGAAAAAAAAATTCTTGTTAAAAAAAATGCTGGCAAAAACACCTACATAAACAACACTATGGGAATTTAAGAAATGAAGGCATACAAGGGACATCTAGTTATAAGAAATGTATTACCCCTCTAGATTTAACTAATTGCAGCTATCTGAGGGTTAAATTCTAGATTTAAATTTTTTTCTCTTGCTTATTTAGAAGCATTCATTTTTTTTTTCAAAACAAAAACCTGTCTGTTGTTTTTTTGGCATTGCACTTAGGTTCAGCACGGTCTTGTTAATTTTAAGGTGGAAAAAAATAGGCAGAAGCCAGCCAGCGTATGTTTTCCACACTACAAAGTAGGGCTTTATGAACACTCAGTTTAAAATCCAAACATCTCAGGCATCAGGAATCTCCACAAAGTCATCTGTAAGTGGTGTTTTGCCTCTTCTTTTCCTTGCCTATCATAAGTTTGTATTACAGGTACAAGCTGGGCAGGAGGCCCTATAATAAGGGTAGAGAAAGTTGAAGGCAGAAATCCACTCCCCTTTGAGAACCCAGCATCCCTACGAATCACACCCACCTCTATTGACTTACACTGGGAAAGGTAAAAACCAGAAAGCTAAAATAAGCTTAAAAACAACAGGAAGGGAGCAATCCAGACTTAATGTTCAAATAACTCATCTTGCTTCTGACCATAAGCCAGCCGCCAGAGAAACAGCCACTTTGAAATGTCTAAAGTCAAACCAAATTTCTGATATCCCACATATTTAAATTGGTCTCTGCCCTTCCCATTTTCCTAATGCAAACTGTGAGAAATTCTATGAGAGAGCTGGTGAGCTTGGCAGTATCAGCAGACAAGCTCTCAGTAATCTCTTGAGGTTTGTTATCAACTTTTTGTTACAACTTTAGTATATTTCCATTCTGGGATACGGAGTCATTCAATCAGAGTCAATTAGAGTCAATTAGAAAGCCAATCTGTCAAAACAGGTAAATTCAAGGATGTGTTGTCATTTCAAGGATGTGTTGTCATTTTCTTCATTCCATTCTATTATGGTCTGACAGGATTTTCTAGTTGTTTCCTCACAAATAATAAGTATGCAATTTTATGAATGGTGATTATTTAGCTCTGGACTACAATCTAGGAGAGATACATCTGAGTTCATGAAAAACTGAACTCCATCAAAGGAAAAGTTACATAGGACATAACTTGCAGACAGGAAAAAAACAAATAGACTCTGAGGGTACCAATACGACTTTGTCAAAATCATGTGATCAAGTGATCACTAGTGAAAAGGGTTCTCACAAGGAGATAGGAGCATGAAACCAACTCACAATCATTGGGAAAAATAAGCCACCTCAATTTTAACCCAGAATCCATTAAAGGCTCTAAAACTTCCCCTTTGCCTGTTTCCCTATGTTAGCCACTATCTCAAACTGCCACTGGCAAACTAAAGTCTGTGGATGAAGTCTGACTGTTTTGATAGGGCCTAGGAGGTAAGGATGGTTTTGTGTCTTTAAATAACTGACCAAAAAAACAAAAATCAAAAGAAGATTTTTTTGTGATGCATGTAAATTCTACGAAATTCAATTTCATTATCCATAAATAAAGTTTTATTGGCATCCAGCCATGTTCATTTGTTTACATAGTCTCTATGGATGCTTTCATACTTCAACAGTAAGCAGCAGCCATGGCAAAGCCTACTATTTATTTTCTGGCCTTTGCAAGCAAAGTTTGCCAATGCTGGGTTCAAAATATTTAGTCACAGGAGAAAGGTTCTGCTTTCATAAAAATAACAAAAACAGTGAGATCAAATGGTTTAAATCTAGTAGATCTATCAAAGATGCCTCCATTCCAGGCAGTAGAAAGATGGCTACATAAAACACAGAATATTAAAACTACCATAGATTTCCTCCAGTCAAATCCTTGCCAATTTTAAGAACAAGTGCCTACAGGAAAAAAATGCCTGAAGTCTAGAGTCCTGTAACTTACTATGTCTACGACTGTCAACAAGTCATTTGCTACTGCCATGGGACATTAGTAAAAACACTGCATATAAAAAGCACTTTTGGAGTTACAAAGGACTTACTGAGAAGTAGGCTCTTAATAAAAATAACCCTTGAGCTTTTATACTCCTTAATGTGCCCAAACCTAAATGATCACTGGCAGTCATTACCACCTATCTCAATACAGAAAACTGACACAAAGAATAAAGATCAATCCCATATGGAAAAATCTCATCCTGGTATCAGTTGCTCATGTCTGTAATCCTAGGCTAAGATATGAGGATCTCTGTTGGAAGCCAAACTTGGATAGACAAATCTGAGGGATTCTTATTGCCAATCAACTAACAACAGGCCAGAAGCAGGGAAATGGCTCAAGTGTTACAACACCAGCCTTAAGGGAAAAGCTAAGCAAGTAAGTA